TGTCCTGCTGTTCTTCTCTGTTTCCTAAATCTCTCTCATTCATGATCCATAGCACAAACCCACGGTCCTCTGATCTTCAGGCCTTTGCTTTTCATAACATCCACCCCCTCCCTCTTCAAGCTTTGATTAATACCCAGACTGTGTCCACCATAAATTAATTATCTCTCACCCACCACCATCACAAATGTTCCCCCAGTCCTGTATCCTGCAATATGAGATCTTGATGTATTCTCTACCTCTCAACTCACCTTTATCTCCTGTCCCCCTGCTCCACCATCAACTCATGTCCCCGTCCTATTCACTTCTACCCCATCATTACCTTCTGTCCTCTACACCTTTAGTCCATTAGCCCCAATCCTTCTTACAGGGTCGAATTCCACCATCTTTCCCAACCCTCTCTACTTCCAACTTCCCACCTCTTCACCATTAGCTGGTGTTCCCTGCTCTCGGTTCTTGCTTTTTCTAGCTCAATTCACTATACACAAGAGAAAAAAAACATACAGGAGAAACTGTCTAAAAATAAATAAAAAACATTGATCCAAACAGTGTGTGTGATTTAGCCCTCGTTCACACCTGAACGTTTTGTAGCGCGTTCTACGCTCGACGAACGCTCTACAAACCACTCAAAAATATAAATCCCATTGTATTCAATGGTCTCGTTCCCACCTTGGCGTATTTCCGCCCGTCCCTAACGCGCTACAAACGGCCCACGCCTGAAAAGGTACAGGTACTACTTTGGGCCGTTTTGTTGCGCGTTTCCATTGGGCTACAGCCAAGTAGCCTTCGGAAACGCGCGACGGTCGTGCAACTTTTTTACCGCGATTCGCGGTAAAAAAACGCGCGACAGACGCGCATATGCAATACGCCTAGGTGTGAACGAGACCTTAAGCTTAAAGCAAACTCATGTATTGTCAATGCTTGATAAAAGCAACATGTTTGCTTTAAAGCTTCCCACCCCAGCAGTACATACTAACCTTTCCTCTGCTCTCCTTTTGCTCTCTTCAGGAACCAAGGAAATACCCATTCCTTCAGAGTGTGAAGGACCTTGTGCCTTAATCCAAGTGACAGCCATGGTGTTTTTGATTGGCTCAGCCCCACTTGGCAAACTGTACATTTAACCGTACATCCTACAGCTTACATCCTACATCAACCGTACATCCTAAAGCTTTTGAAGGGTTGCAAAATGTCCATCTGTTACTCCTGAGATGACATCAGCCCAACTATGTATGTAGCCAAGTCCAACTTATCTTAAGCTTAGCTCAATTCAAAATACTAGTGGAAAACAGATATATTGTTTAAATAAAATAAACCAAAATGTAATATATTGCAGCTTACTAATCCTTAGATGTGGTGGCTGCATTAGTTTTCATTTTTTATACTTTTTTTCCTTTATTTTTACCTGGGGATCCTGCCAGGAACACACTTCCAGTTTTAGGGTGGCTGCACTCTATGGAGGAGCTATAGAGCCACACTTGGACAGCAAAATTGTCACCTTATGAAGAGGGTCGTGTTAGATGTACAAGCAGATTTAGATGTACTTGACTAACAAATTAAAGTGACATTAAAGTCAAAAATGTTTTCCCCTCCCCGCAATGTTAATGTCAGCACTTACCTTAAATGATGTATCTTAATCCGATCTTCCTCTTTCCTGATGTTTTCATCTGTCCCTCCAGCGGTGCGGCGGCTCTCCGATCCATCGCTTACTCCTCTGTCCTTGCTGGCACTTCCGATCCCGCGGTAGTTTGCATGCTCTGTCTTTTAAATCTTCATATTTTCACATGCTGGAGGGAACTTTCATTTTTTAGCTGACTCCCTCTTCTCTGGCTGTAACATGGAGTCTGTGCGCGCTCCCTAGCCAGGACCACAGGATGACATCCTCCCGACATGAACAGCCCCACCCTGCCCTAGCCCCACAGTAGAGCCCCCGCACACCCATAGTACAGCTGCCCTGCGCCCAGAGTTTAGCTGCTGCGCAGGCACAAAAGACCATTGCTGGATAAGCCAAGCGCTTGTGACTTTGGCATTGTGGATACAACGGCAGCTACCTGTGGAGTTTTGAAGAATTTCCATGTGAAGAGGCAATCTGCATACTAATTCCTTGTTTGCATGTAAGTGTCTGAGCTGGGGAGAAATCCGTTTAGTATTTCATATACTACAAGGGTGTCATCAGTTAAACATTGGAATTCAACAGCATTAGCAACATCATCGCAAATAAACAACCACCCATTTAAAATGTTAAATAATGCATTTGTCTGACACACAAAAAGAACAAAAACGTTCCAAATAACCTTTTGCTGGTGGCAGAGGGCGGGTTCGGATTTACAGCAAGCCCGTTAGGTTGACAAAATATATTACAATGTATCAGCCACAGAATAAAGATGGTAAAAGTCTAAATAAAACTGCTATTAGTTTAGAGAATAAAAACATAAAAAGGCCAAAGAACAACATAAAGCAAAAGGTATCATCGGCAGCAACTTATAATTTAAAAAATGTTTGCACACAAATGCTAAAATCTGAATTTTTAGATAGAAAATTACTTTAAACCCCCAACAATTACATATTTTATGAAAGCAGAGGCCCTATAGAAAAAAAAATGGAAGCTTTATTTTTTTTATGTTGCACAATATTTGTGTAAATGTTTATCAAATAGATATTTAGGAAAAAATAACCTAAAATGAATTTTAGTGCAGACAAACATAATATAATACCCAATTTTTTGGAAAATATAAAAGATGGGGTCACATCGTGTTAACATCAGTACCTGACCTCACAAATGGTCCAACATTCCCATAGACACACTCCTAAACCTTCAGGACGCCTTCCCAGAAGAATTGAAGCTGGTATAGCGGCAAAAGGTGTCCCAATACTTTTGGCAATATAGTGTAAATACCAAACATGGCGAGCTTTAAATACTTTGTGCGCGCCCGTGCAGTGGTGAAAAACGATGGTAGTCATAATTGCGCATGGGTTTAAAACCCTTTACTGCTCATCAGTTTACAGTTGTCAGCGAATTATTGCACTCATATTTGCGCAATGCCTGACGTGTGGCTCGATTGCTGTTTATGTACATGTGCACGCCCTACACACGAGTTCATTCGCATGCAAATGGGGTTGGTTTAAAATATTTTTTAAGAAAATATTTTTCACCTGATACTTAGTCCTGCGCTAGTGTCCACTCACCTCCCCCCCCCCCCCCCTGCTCCGGCTGTGGTATGTCCCTGAGCGTCCTCACGTCTATTGGACCCGCATTAGACGTGATGACATCACGGATCCTTAGACCGCTGGAGCGTGGGGGGTGAAGAGGCTGTAGGGAACGATCTAGCAGCCCAGCAGGACCAAGGATCGAGTGAGTGTATCTTTATTGTTGTCCCTAGACCTAAACGAGCAGTTAACCCTTGTGGTTCGGGGATAACCCCACTGCAAGGGTTAATGTGAAAAACTCATGGAGCTCCTTCTTTAACTGGTTGCTTTTGTCTAGATCAGGGGTAGGCAACTCCGGCCCTCCAGCTGCTGTGGAACTACAAGTCCCATGAGCCATTGCAAGACTCTGACAGCCACAGGCATGACTCCCAGAGGCAGATGCAAATTGCGATCAGCTGGAGGGTTGAAGTTGCAAACCTCTGGTGTAGGGGGATTTTTTTTCTTTAAACAGTTTTACTTACCTGACCCCCACTTCCCCGGTGGTTGGAGCTAACTTCTCCCCCCTCCTGCTCTGGATTGTCCCTTGGTGTCCTCACATAAGGGCCCTGCATTAGATGTGATGACATCAGAGAACCTCCGAAGCGTGGGGGGTTTGAAGGCGCCGCGTCTTGGAGCCATCGGCCATCAGGTAAATAAAAATGCTCCATGAAGGTCCCAGAGACAAAAAAGAGCAGTTAACCCTTGCAGTGCCGAGATCGCTCCATGGCACGGGTAGCTTTTATTTTAATCTGGAGTTCAGCTTTAAGTAATAGGAAGAATTTCCTCCTCGATTCTATTGTATGTGTTATAAATCTCTCCAGAAAATCCTGACCACCCCCTGGTGAACTTCCTCTCACCCTGGGCCTCTTATCACTGAGCTTGTCTGGGCACAGACACATTCCACAGGAGGAAGCTAATACTGCCATAAATCTAGGACTGGCTGTGTGAGGGAGGGGGTTGTAGTCCCGCCTGCTCAGTCCGTCCATCTGGAACTTCCTATTGTTAATGTTATTGATATCACGGAACTCTTCCACTTTTAGTGTGTGTGTGTATATATATATATACCATAACAGAAGTCACCAGCACTCGATGATGTGTGCAAGAAGTAAAGCACTTTTTATTCAATCGTCACATGCGGCATACAGCCAACGTTTTGCGGCCATGCAAGGTCCCTTCTTCTGGGCAACATAGTGACAACAGAAGGGACCCTGCGTGGCCCCAAAACATTGGCTGTATGACGCATGTGACAATTTAATAAAAAGTGCTTTACTTCTTGCACACATCATAGAGTGCTGGTGACTTCTATTATGGACTGTATCTGATCGGGGCCATCCATGTTGTCACTTCAAGCACCAACCTCTCATCAAGGTCTGTATGCTGTATGGAGTGCAGGTGATTTCGCATTATCGTCTGTGTATATACGGTATATATATAGTGTATATATATAAATATTAAAAAAGTTACATGATGTCAGTAACATTAATAATAGCTAGATGAATAAATATATACAGTATATACATAGGTACCGTACCTCATACTGTACTATAATACTAAATACATAACATACAGACGATTCCGTCCTCAGCTCTGCATCAGCGTACCTGCAGACTGGAGCTGGCAGTGGGCGGGTATTGACTGTAGGTGGGCGGGTTATGGATGCAGGTGGGCGTAAAGCAAACTACGGTACTGTACATCGCTTCATAACCTCAGGCTGGACAGCCCGCCCCTGGCTCCGCCCCCACAACAAACTTTTTTTCGCGCGGAAACTTTCGCGGGAAATCAGAGGAGCTGTTCTCGCACAGCTGTGTAGACGTCGCCTCTGCTCTTATCATGGACCCCTTCAAGCTCCAGGTGAGTGTAGGCTAAACACCTGTATTGTATCGCTGCAAGTGCACCTTTTGCATCCATGTATTTGGAGCTGCAGCCTGAGCCCCCTTATTATGATGCACGTTTGTAGCTGGTGTCTTCTGCAGCCATTGAGGGTCACTGTAATGAACGCCCTCTTCTCATGGGTTTCCATTGTCAGTGCTCGGAGAGTAAGCTGTGCTGTGCAGGAATTGTCAGGGGTGATGGATTACGCAGCACTGTTCGCACGACTGCGGATCTTCTTCATAATTTCTTTTTGCATAAAAATGCAGCTGATCGGGAGCGCGCTCGTTGTAGGGGGAGATCACACTATTAGGTGTGCACGTGTGTCCTCCGCTGCAAGGAGACAAAGCTGTCACGTGCTTGCGGGAAGCGCGCGAAGTCAGTCAGTGCTGTGTATATGGGAGGAGTGTGCACACTGCTAAAGGCATGAGCTCAGTGCATAAGTCACTCTCACATCATAGTATTTATACTTCCAGCATTCCTACAGTTGCCCATACAGTGATAGAGGAAAGTTGGCAAACTCCTTGCAGATAGTGATACCCAGGTTGTGCTCCACAGACATGAGGATTGCGCATGAATTGGCCACCTGACCAAAATGAACAGTTCACCCAGCACTGCAAGGGTTAATGTGAAAAAATTTATAATTGCGTTCTTTAACTGTTTGTTTTTGTCTAGAGCAGGTGTGGGCAAACTCCGGCCCTCCAGCTGTTGTGGAACTACAAATCCCATGAGACATTGCAAGACTCTCACTGACATGACTCCAGAGACAGATGCATCATTGGATTTGTAGTTGCACTGCAGCTTGAGGGCCCACCTCTGGTTCAAATGTACCTGTAAAGGTGGCCATATGTTTGGGGTTTTTTTTTTCTTCTTATATCCAGTAGTTAAAATATACAACAATAATGTTGAAACCTGTCAGTTTTATCCCATCTGTGTTCCATTGGGGAGATTTTTTTTCCCCTTCACTTCCTCATCTGCAGACACTTCAGGAAGTTGGAGGAAATCTCTCCAAATAGTTGTTAGTACAGTAGGTGCCCTATTGTGAAATGTCCCAGTGACAACACTACAGTTTGAAGTTTTCTCTCGAAATGTGAATGAATCTGAGCACAGAAAAATACCTAGAGCAGGGCCAAACTTTGCCCCCCCCTCCGCTGTTGTGACACTAAAAGTCCCATGAGGCATTGCAAGACTCTTGACAGCCATAGGCATGAATTCCAGAGGCATGTGTATGATGGGATTTGTATTTTCAGCACAGTGTATGTATGCGTACACACACGTGCGTACACACACACACCTCTCATGTTCTTGAAACCACTCCTGCACAATACGAGCACCGTGGCATGGCGCATTGTCTTGTTGGAAGAAGCCATCTCCATTTGGATACGCCATCAACATGATAGGATCAACTTGATCAGCAACGATACTTTGGTATGTTGTGCTATTCAGACGTTGTTCCACACGAATTAAAGGGCCCAAAACATGCCCCAAACCATAACACTGCCCCCACCAGCTTGAAGGGTTGTACTCATGCATGTGTGGTGCATGCTTGCACGCTGTTCCCGCCAAATTCTCACTCTGCCATCTGCATGATACAACTGGAAACGTGATTCATCGGACCACATGACTTTTTTCCAATGCTCGACTGTCCAATCCTTGTGTTCCTGTGCGAATTGGAGACGTTTTATCTTGTTAACTGCAGACAGCAAAGGTGTTCGAACAGGCCTTCGGCTTCCATATCCCATACGATGCAGTGTACGGCGAACAGTGCGTTCAGAGATCATTTGAGAGGATCCCTGATTAAGATCTGCAGTAATTTGATGCACTGTTGCCCTTCTGTTGTCTTGTACCAGTCTTGCCACTCTCCGTTCTGCCCTAACATTGACTAGTCGCTGACGGCCACAATTCGCACGTTCAGACCCAGATTTTCAGCTGGCAGTCCAGTCTTTAAACACTTTAACAACAGCTGCTCTTGAACATTTAACGAATTCTGCTGTTTTGCTGATACTCGCTCCATGGCTCTGAGCGCCAACAATCATCCCACGTTCAAAGGCTGTTAAATCGCGTTGTTTACCCGTATCTTCAGAAAAAATCACTTCTACTGTCGTGGTAAACAACCTGCTTCCCTATTTATAATTGTCTGGCCCTCTAGCAACCTCAGCGCGAAATTATAGCTAATTATAGCTAATTTGCCTACAAACGTCAGGTGGTCATAATATTCTGGCCACTCAGTGTGTATATGTGTATATATAATTTGCTTTTAACCAATATGAATAAGAAGAAAGCAGTGTGTGGCAGTATTAGACAGGAAGAGGCAAAAAAAATGCAATTGAAGAGAAACGTGTTATTTTCACACCTTGCTTATTCTAGCAAGATATATGCAGCTACATTTTAAATGATATATAATATATATATATCATTTTATTTTTTTACGGTAGCGGATTTCCTCTGCTATAAAAAAAAACAAGAGATGGCTGATTCCATTATACCACCAAATAAAGGCCCAATTTGTCCTGGAGCGAAGGTATAATTCACCTGGATACACTAAGAGGCTGAATTATAAATGGCGCTGAGGAGCGTAGGAATTTCCTCTGCTCCTCTGGCACTAGTGCTGTGTGAATGGCATCTGCCCGTCTATAAGCTGGGTGGAACATTTCTACATTGGCCCCTGAATAGTTGCCAAGATATTAGTTTTATGAACTCATCATGCCATTTGCAAAACTGGGTTCAGGTTTTAAGCTGAGTATTTGTTTGACCTTCCGGGCTAATTCACACCATTCCCCAGTGCATTCCGACCGATTGTGGCCAGAACGCACTGCATCGCATTCCGGACAGCTCACTTTGTTTTGGGGCGGGAGGGGCCGACACGGTGCATTGAACTCAATGGCACCGCAGCCACATCCTCCGGCCACAATGCAGTCGGCGGCATGGGACGCACAGTCAGAAAAAGTAGTGCACGCACTTTTTCTCAGTGCACCGGACCGGAGCCACAATCAGGATGGTGTGAACTAGTCGTCCATTAGTAAAGTGACACTGAACTCAGCAGTTGAAGGAGAACTATGAGGTGAGTGCTTTTCACTTACCTCATAGTTCTAGCCGACCTGTGACAATGAGACTGTCACAGGTCGGCTTAGTAGATCGGGAGGTGAGCGAACACATACCGGCGTTCGCTCACCTCTCGATCCTGTCACGGCTCTCTGCCGTGGCAGGGGAGGGGCTTTATTCTTCCCGATCCGCCAGCGCTGCTGGCGGAAAGGACGGGGGAGGGGGCGGGTACAGCTGGCTCTGCCTCTAGATAGGCAGAGCCAGCTGTCAGTCACGCAGCTGGACGGATCCAGACATAATTGTCGGAATCCGGTTCAGCTGCGGCGTCTCAGTATACCCTGAGCTGTAGCTCGCGGTATACTGAGCCTAGGGTGACGGGAGGACGGTAGTTTGTGTCCTCCCGTTACCCTAAGGAGAACTATGGGGAAAAGCCCTAACCCCATAGTTCTCCTTTAAATCTAAAAAATGCATAGCGTTTACTATTAACAAAAATGTATCTTATTTGTGTATCGCTCGGCTGTAGATTCTCAAATCATCTGTGAATTGGTGCTGACACTGTCCTTCCTTCTGGAGGGGGGTTACTTTTGTTCCCCATGGTCCCTGTGTGTGTTGTAAAGTAGCCACAGCTCCAAGCTTACTCCTGTGATAAGCTACAACCTCAATACAAATTAGGAAACTAAACATGAGATTGTAGTCCATCCCAGGAGTGATCTTGAAGTGGTGACTACTTTACAACACACACAGGTACCATGGGGAACAAAAGTAGCCCCCCTCCAGAAGGAAGGACAGTGCCAGCATGAATTCAGTGTTCACAGTGCTGGTTCTGTCCTCCTAACCTCTGGTGCGTTGTTATGTGAAAGACATAAAAATAAATCTATGTCAGATAATGGTTTTAGACTTGTACATTTCTTATTAATGTATAACTTGTTTGTGTGCAGTTCTGCTTTGTGCCCTTCACCACAAAAGCCATTTTATGTTCCCCATATGAGCGATTTTATTCTTTTTTCCATATTTAATAGAAAATAAAATTCACTTTTATTATTGCAGAAAATCCAGACCTCAAACCAGAAGAAATTTGGGAAATTTCGGAATGTGAAACTAATCCCCATGGAGACCTCGTCATCGTCTGATGACAGTTGTGACAGTTTTGGCTCTGATAATTTTGCAAACACGGTAAGTGTAGTAGACGCATGCTCGGGCGCCGTCCTCTCCATGCTGGAAATGCACAAAATGTGTTGTGCTTGATTAGAACCTGCATGCTTCTCCTACCATTTCTATAGAGCGCTTATGAATATACACATCTACTCCTGTAATTTCATTTTACTTTTTGCTAGTGGTTCTAGGTAGTAATTGTTGGAAGTAGATTATCTACTTATTCTCCCCTTTTGAAATGTCACCTGACCTAAGATGCTTGATGATTGCCATAACAGCTCTAAAATGGTTATTAAACCTCGGCCATTTTCTTACTAACAAAAGCTATTCTTATAGTACACTTGTAAATGTGATTTGAGCTCTGAGCGGTTTATGGAAAATTGCTAAGCTAAAAGTGCATGTATTTTTTATTTATTTTTTATTGTAGAAAAACAAATTTAGAACAGGTACAAGTAGAGAACTGGCCAGAGTATTTTCTGAGGAATCGGAATCTGAGTCATTTTGTGGATTTTCAGAAGATGAAATCCGGAATGGCATGGTGAGTCTCCAAAAAAAAATAAAAACATTTTGTTTGTGTATATATAATAATAATAATAAAAAAAGTGTGTATGTGTATATGTATAATATGTATATATTTATATATTTCCCATTTTAAGATTTAGAAAAGGATTTAAATCCATTTAGATTTAGGGTATGTTCACACCAGCAACCGCACGGCTACTGGTGTGCGTGTCCCCAAACAGTGCAGCTGCACTCGCTCAAGCCGCATCGCACTGTTTTATTTTTGTGTAGACCGTCATTGAAATGGCACAAGTGAAATTTCATGTAGTCTCACTGCGGTGTGCTTAAAAAAAGTGCATGCCGTTTTTTTTGTGTGTGTTTTTTTTTTTTTAGGGCACACCACCGGAATGTGGTGGTGTGAACTGAGCCCATTTAGGACAAGGTAATTTGCCTTGTCTTATGTTCAGGCTGCCGTGGAACAAACAGCCCGAACAGAGTGTGAATCGGCCCTCAAACAGCTCCTCCATACATGCCGGACCTGCCTGGCAGGGCAGAAGACCTGATTTTCTTTGCCTTGTCCCTTCCCCATCCTGTGACAGTGAAAGGAGAAGCAGAAGACTGATGAGCTCATCTGTCACTCTTCTCTCTTTCTATCTGCATGTTCCTTGTTATCACATGAGCACTGTAGCACGCCCGATTGGCTTCTTGTGGTGCTTCTTATATTAAATTCAGGGACTTCTTCAATTAAATAAATGTAATGTGATAACGGGTACAGAGCTGCATCACTTTGTGTTTTATCATTTGTCTGGAGTTCAGCTTTGGACTGTAGATCAGAATGAAGATTCTAACTTGGTGGTGCAGGAATTGGGTCCCAGAACTGAGTAATTAAATTCTAAAATATTCCTTTGTTGCAATAGGGTAAGTGTGTGTCGTCATCCACAAAGGAGTGTGGCATGGAATGCGGTGCTGTTCTTAGCAGCCATGGTCATAGCCATTGCCTTGGGGCCGGTCACTGTCATTTGACAACAATTACTTGGCACAGCAGTGGTGTGAATAGAGGCAAGCTACTAT